CAAAGACATTTTCCTTTGGTGGCAGCTGATGAGGCAAGTCTTGTATATTAATGAAAATGTTGGTGGATTATAGTAAAAGTATTAATAATACTCAAATTGTAACTCAATTTTGACATTTCTAATTTAAATTTAGGATATTTACAAAGTCAAACAGGAAGGATGCTCTTCACTTAGTTTATTCATTTTTATTTTCTTATCTTTTTTTATTAAATACCAACATTCATCCCAGAAATCTGGGTTAAAACAAGACAGACAAACCTGACCACTGATCTCTACACATCCTTAAAGAGATGCTTCCAGCTCCTCATTGTTACAATAATAGGATTTTTCTCTGAATAAAATTTTATTTCATACGTTTGCATCATCTTTTCATGGTTGCTCTCATTCTGCTGTCTGGACTATGCAAAAAAATTAAAATAAAAAAACATTTCTGGGAATCTTATAGAAGATATTTTGGTGCCGAATCCTACAAAAGTATTCATTTAGTTTAAAATTTGTGGATTTAGCTGTTGGTTTAATTCATAGCATGGTTCAAGTTTTTTTTTTTAATTATGTCGGGAAATTTTAATACATTTGAATGAAACTTCTGTTTGAAATGTACAAATTCAGCTCTGGATGTAAAAACACAAGAAATAAATAGAGAGAAATTATGCCACTGATATAAAGTCCTTCATCTGGTATATAGTGATTGAAGCCAGAAGCCTCCAATCATCTGGAGGTATCTGTAAACATCCCAGTCCTCAGATCCTTCCTGCTGCTGAGCAGGAAACAGCTCATCYGACATGAATCACAGCTCTGATCTTTGCATTGACCTTTACAGTGCCGTGTGTGCAGAGTGACACACAGAAGGAAAGTTGTCCAGAACTTAGATGCACGTCTTGCACAAGGCTATTTGGTCCTTGATGTAGTCCCTGCAGGGGCAGATCCGTATRAAGGAGGGGTCCGATCTGACGCAGCTGAAGAGCAGAGGGTCCGACTGGAGCAGACATCGTTTCCTGCTGCTGTCGTAGGCAGGGAGSACAATGTGAGCGTTGGAAGACTCTGATGTTTGACAATCCACACTGTAGCTGGAGAGAAACAGRAAACAAGTGGTCAGTTAACTGCACTTTTAGAATCAACTGAACTCATATTCTCTTTTACTTTACGGTACATCATACACTTCAGTATTCAGACATGCAGCTTGTGTCAAACCTATACACTGATTTGTGTGAACGCATGGCAGCATCCACTACAGGTCCTTCTCAAAAATTAGCATATTGTGATAAAGTTCATTATTTTCCGTAATGTACTGATAAACATTAAACTTTCATAAATTTTAGATTCATTGCACACCAACTGAAGTAGTTCAAGCCTTTTATTGTTGTAAAATTGATGATTTTGGCAAAAAAAGTAAAGAAAAATCAAAAATCCCTATCTCAAAAAATTAGCATATTTCATCCGACCAATAAAAGAAAAGTGTTTTTAATACAAAAAAAGTCAACCTTCAAATAATTATGTTCAGTTCTGCACTCAATACTTGGTGGGGAATCCTTTTGCAGAAATGACTGCTTCAATGTGGCGTGGCATGGAGGCAATCAGCCTGTGGCTCTGTGAGCAGGTGCCAGGTCGTGCTGAAAAATGAAATCTTCATCTCCATAAAGCTTTTCAGCAGACTGAAGCATGAAGTGCTCCAACATCTCCTCCAAAATCACCTTCTTTAAGTGATAGAAAAGGTTGGTTGTGTTGGCGTCGGGCGAGGGAACGGTCTTGTGGCAAAGTTTGCAGATTACCGTTTTGTGCTCCGTGTCCGATTTCTTGAATCTAGCCTGGTCCTTGCCTTCCTACGCAGCTCCGCTCAGTTCTAGTTTCCTTCTCTGCTCCGTCTGGGACTTCTCCCATAGAC